TATATATATATATATTAAGAAAATGCAACTAACCTTTTTCTTTTTCCAAAGTTGAAATGTTTCATATGTGATTCGTGTTAAATTAGATCCTAATTTTGCTCTCTAAAAAAAGGAAAAGATATTTCAAACATAAGTCTAAATTTTCAATTAATGGGAGAAAAAAAAAAGCATTGAAACACACAATGTATACAAATATGTTACAATTTATATTTGAAACAGAAAACTTAAAATCTTACAAAAAAAATTCACGTTAGGTAATTTAAAGAAACTCTAAAAACATAAATAGATATACAATCCGATGATAAGAAACCAAACAGTACATTGATGAGATAGTATGCAATTTCATTACATATGATGTCATAGAAAAATATTTATAAAAATATTTCTGCACAATAAAAGTTTGGTCAATCTTGGTTTATTTTTTCTTGCATGATTTAAATTTTTAACATAAATACAGTTTGTTTTAAATAATTTATTTTTCACTTGTTAAAATTTTAATAGGCTAATATTTTTTTTATTTACTTACTTTTTAAATAATAAAATAAGTTCCAATCATTTTACTTGTACAAATATTAATAATCAGAATTAATAATACCTGGAAGTTTTTACCCTTAAATTATTTATAATAATATTGCTCAATTAATAACAGAGCAGATGAACTTTAATAGTCTTTATTTATTTATTATTTTGTTAGAACAAAAATCCGCAGAAAAATGATACAAAATCCTTAGCAATGGGCATTCTTTCTTATGCATTCATAAAATATAGTTAAACAAATAAAAACATGTTTAAATACACAGCAATGAATATAATTTCAAGTTCATATATTTACTTGGTTTAATATGTCCAAGTATTTTCAGAATTAAAAAAGCCCTTTGAATGATTTAGAATAATAAATGCAAAATCATAATACTTTAACACGTTGATCGATGCTTCAGTCATCGATGGTGGATACTGGACTTTCCATTTAGGCCGCGTCAGCCACTGTTGGCTGACACTGAAATTACATTTAGGCTGCGTCTGCCATCGCTTGCTGACACTGACCTTTCACATAGGCTGCCTAAACAGCTGGCTGACAGCGTATAACATGATATAGAACTATAAAATTTACACTCTTTTATGGAATTGCAGAAAATTTATTCAAAATTTACTTAATTATTGTGATTCTTGGTTTAATAAATTCAATTTAGTAGATTTTTACCCACCACTATTTCTACATAAATCGTAGGCTTATATAATTCATCACTTTTGTCAGATACGTCATGATAAACCTTCTAAAAAATTAGCGAAATCCGTCTAATATTTTCAAATTTATTTTGTAGTTATTTACCGTGGCCAGATGGGCAAGCCATGTAAAATTAGCGTGGTGCTCAACGTGTTAGCTAACTTATGACTTAAGAGCTAATTGCATGTTCTTTAAATGTATCGTATAAATTTAAAATATATGAGCACAATAAAATTTTATATACATTAATCTATTATTTGTATTAAAATATATTAGCAAGACGACAAAAAAAAAAAACATGTAGCAGACTTATGCAATTATGAAAATGTTTTTTATTCAATTGTATTATTTAAACATTACAGAGAAATAAATGTTTCACTCTATACAGAAGCATAGAAAGTTTAACAGTCCTAAAAATCAAAATTCTTGACATTAGATTTATAATAATCATATATAACAATTCTGTAATAATCTCTTTATAGAAAAAAAAAACTATTATCAAAGATTTTATAAAATTTAGTTCCTAAACACTAGGACCAATTTCGAGGAGTCGTATTACATTACTTTTGAGTGACTGGATTGTTTACTTTTGAGAAAAGGGAAATTTCCACTTTTCATTGTTTAATAAAAATTTTCACTACTGCAAGCAATGGTGCTATCCTCGTTAACATGGCAGATAGGACGTAAAAACTTACAAATCAGGTGTTATGCTCAGAAAAATCAAAATTTTCCTCTTTCTTTTGAACATTCATATTTTTCGGTCTAAAAAACATGTTTACATACATTAGATGCTATCTGTGATATTTTAGATACTATGGTAATTGGGAGACCTTTATGCTTCAAAATGAGTTTACAATTTCTAAATTTTTCCTCAGAACAAAAAATATGATAGAAAAAAAACTTCTAAAAAGAAAAACAACTATGAATGAATTGCGCTGAAAGGAATAAAATTTAAATAAATACGTATAATATTTTAGAGCATTTTCCAAGTAGTGGTTAGAAATCCTATAAATACCTGATTTTCTACTAAATCTTCCATTGAAATTTCTTCAGCTTTATCTTCTTTCTTTTTATCTTTTTTCAAAACAAATCCTGGTGGTAATGCATGTCGATAGTGGCATTTTTGGGCCCCATTTGGGCATTCCCAGAACCAACCATATTTATTATTTTCTAATGCATCCAAAAAGAATTTACAAATCTGAAAAAGGTATCTTTTTGAATACTTGCAAAATAAATTTATTAAACTAGCACAAACAAAATATAAGCAAAAATTATGCAATATAAGCTGAGCTGTCTCAGCAAGCCATTAGCATTTAAAGACATTTAGCTGTCTTAGCATTTAAAATTAACATACAAATATACCTTAATAATCATTGATCTTGAGATTTTAATTTTCACGTACTAAATTGTAGTTCCAATGATTTAAGGCTTAACATAACATTTATTGTTTCATTAGAACAGACGATATTTAATGTTGTGCAATTTAATCCAAAAATATACTTCAATTGAAAAACATAACTTTTTATTAGGGATTTGGATTTTTGACAATTAAAAATTAAGAATATGGCAATTTGTACAAGAAAATAGTAAATAAATCAGTTGATCAGGACAGAAACTTATCAGTTAAAATTATTTAATCAGTAAAGCTTTTGCATAGTTGCATAGTTGGCTATAATTGAGAAGTACTAATATTTTAGGACTCTTTAAGCAAATAAATTTGCTAAAATTTAAAGTTTATTGAACAATTCATTTGAATAAAGTTTATTGAATAAAGTTTATTGTTATTTTTATGGACAATTCCATGCACACAAAAAATTATTATTATTACTTTTATGATAAAATGACAAAAAAAAATAAAGTTTGAACAGATATATTTAAGTAGTTCAGAAAAAATAATATTAGTCAGAAACTTTTTAGTAGATTTCATTGAAGTTTTGTATTTCAATTTCTTGAATTAAGTGAAAATTTATATACCTTTCAATTCCAAAACTTTGCTACCATTATTAAATTAAATAACAACTACGCACATTTCCCCCCATTATTATTTAGAAGAATTCCAGAGATGTGGCAAAATATGCAAAGGTAACATTACAGGATTCAAAATTTTGACCACTTTCCTTACTAAAATACTCAGGATACATCTGGACTGCAACTATCTTCCATCCCCCAAACTTTGAAAGACAAAAATCCAAATCAATTACAAAAGCAATGCAATTATTCAGACAAAACACATTTTTGTGTCTTATTTGGTAATTTAAATATTGTTTGCATAAACTAACAATTTATCATTTAAAATTAAACCAACTATTAATTAAGAGAAAATCCAAATGTAAATATGATATCAAAACTCTTTAAGGTGTTCTGATTATAATTTTGCATGTTGTGCGCACAAAATAGTTCTTAAATAATAAACATTAAGAAACGCTAGATAAGAAGTAATTACCATTGCAACCATTTTAAATAAAGCACATTGCCATGATTTGTGATTAAGTTTCAAATTAATATAAACATAAAATAAATATAAACTATACTAGATTTTTAGAGTCATTGATGGGGTGCTTAGATGTTCTTTATTTACTAACTTGATAAATAATGATTGATTTTGCATTTCATTTAGCCATTTTAGTAAGTTACACACAAAGTTTGAGTTTCACTATTCAAAAAATTTTAAGGAAAGTGCTTTCTCTTTTTTTCCTTTCCTTTTCCTAGCCTTAATCTTCTTCTTTTTCCTGGCCGTAATATTTTTGTAAGAGCTTATTTTTTAAGGAATAAATTATGCTTTTCATGTAATTTACTGTTTTGTTATCTAATTACTTTGATACATTATATACTTGAATCTTCTTTTTTAATATTTGCTGCTGTTTAAATACATTTTCTTTTAGAAAGAATGGGGAAGGAAGAGAAAATAGTCAAAAACGCAAATGTTACAAAACTTTTAGAATTCCATAAAAAACTTTCAAAACATAAACCTATATTAAGAATATGGAAAACAAACAGTTAGAATTACATTAAAAGTATCATAGTGAGAATATCATTACAAGTCTTATGCAAAACATTACATCATTGCATGTAATGTTTTATACAGTGTGTAACTTTACTACGGTGTGTTTTCCAATCATCACTTTCAATCTATAGATTTATGATCCTTAAAAAGGATATCAAAATTTAATAAATATTTGTCAAAAAACAAGCTTACAAAAGTAAAATTGTTAAACAACTACATTCTTTAAGAAAAAAAAACTTAACTGAGCACAAATTGATCTCTTTTTGAATCCTAACAACAATTTTTTTTTTTCCTTTCCAATGGCAACCTGAGAAATGACCTTTTATCAATACAGGCATCTGAAGGGTAGATTTGGTGGCCACTCTTTCAGGGGCACCATGTTAGGTGGGCCAATGTTGCTCCCACAATAAGGACAGATAGTACAGAGAATGAAAGAGCATCCATGCCTTGGCTGGGATTCGAACACAAAACCTTTCTGGTGCAAGGCCAGTTCCCTGACCCCTACACAGGCTGGTCAGCCACAAAAAATAAATAAAATAATCAGTCTATTTCGGAATATAAGAAATAATAGTACTGTAAAGCATATATTTGAGCTTAAATAATTCTTTACAGGATTTAATAACTCTTTACAGGAAGAAAGTAAAAAAAAAAAAAAAAAGGCATACTATATCAGTCTTGGGCATTTTTCTATCATTTTCTCCATGCTTTTTTTCCACTACTTCTTTTAATTTATCTTCATCCCAATTTTCCATTGCATCTGAAAATATATAGATTATTTTAAGTAAAAGATTTTTCCAAAAATATTTTATTATGACCCTATAGCATATAGTCTGAGTCAAAAATAACTATGCACACATTATAAGTTATTCATTATAAAAAAAACAAAGAATCATTATATGTTTTTATAATAGAAAATTTATAAGTAAATCTTGCAAAAAAAATTTTTTTTTGATAGATCATGATTAACATGTTTTGTAATTGATGTCATTTGTGCTCAATTCAGACATTCTAGAGAAGTTGGTTAAAGGTACAAACTTAATGCCCTTTTACAGAGTCAGAAATATTTTACAAAAACAATAAATACATTAAAATTATGCTTAAAATTAGACTTTATAGTCAAGATTGTTCAGTTTAATCATGATTTTAGTCAACTGATTTTTTTTTTTACGAAGAAATTGTACCATCAAAAGATTTTTCAAAAAAGAAATTATCAATTTAAAAACACTTAGTTTATTTTATTACTTTCTTTATTTTCCTAGTTAAAAAACTTATTGTAAATGCATTGCTCAATTAATAAGGTTCAATTAGCAAATTTTAAATAATAGGCACCAAGTGAGTAAACAATTACAGCACTTTTAAACTGAGATTTGATGAGATTAAAAACCTTAGAATTCTTAAGAACTTTTCAGAATACAAATAAGGAACAAAATGAAAATTTAATGTAGTTTCCCTTAGTATTTAAACATCTGTAAAATTTAGGTATCGTATGCTCGGTAGTACTTGCAAATAGATTGTGAAATCCAACTATTATTCATATATTTAAATTTTTCAACTTTAAACAAAATATAAACTGATAAGAGATTGTAACAAGATAAATAAATAAATAAAATAATTAAATAAAAAAATCAGAATATTTTCTTAAATGTGAGAAATCTTTAATTCATTTGCATATAATTATTTAGTGCATATCATTTGTTTTGATTTTCATCCATTCGGTAACATATCAATGACAAAAATGCATATTTAACTAAATTTCAGAGAAATCAACAGCATGTTACAGCATTGTAATACTTTGCACACTTTACAACATTTCAGTTTTGGGTGAAACATATTTATGAGTGGTAAAGAACTTATACCAAAATCTCTAAAACAAATCACATCTTTTATAAAATTTTTATCAAAAGTTGAGAAAGAATGACAATTTCCCTGTGTAACCTTTAAATCTGTTTAATTTATTAAATGCGGTGGTGGGAAAAATTATTTAAATTCGAATTTATTAAAATATTAATACATATAAAATATCGATTGCGCTAATTAAATAGCATATTTGAGATCATCCCCTCAAACCATTAAGATTGAGTCCTAGAATGTGAATATTCGATCATTATATCATAAGTTATTCAAGGTGGTTTCTTTATTATTTTGCCCTGTATGAACTATTAGGTTCGCAATTTAACTAAATATTGAGAAATATTTATAAGAAAAATCCATATTGAAATCTGGAAACAAACAGGGTTGGTTTAGAAATACTAGCAAGGAGAATGAAGGTTCTGATAACGAAAAGTAAGAATGAGGCAAATTTATCATCGCGACAGGGGCAGATATTTAAGGGATAAAAGTTANATGTTTACCTTACCATCATTTTGGAAATAATCATTAGTGTAATACTTCATCGTTTTTCCTTCTTTTTAAGATTATTCCCAACTATTTTTGTTTTTTTCTTAGTTGGGTTAAAACGGCTTTTTGTATCTATTCAGAAAACCGGAAATATCAGTCATCCGGAATAGCTATGGTCCCTATCGTTCCGGATAATCGGTTCCCAACTGTACTAGTAAGGAGAATGAAGGTTCTGATAACGAAAAGTAAGAATGAGGCAAATTTATCATCGCGATACTTAAGGGATAAAAGTCATGTGCTCCATGGGACACGCAGATAATGAAATTATCGCCCTACTACCAAATCTTGGATAGCTAATAAGCTCAATTAAAAAATTATACAAATGCAAAGAAGCTGAACTCTAGAAGTGTTGGTCCATTTAAAAGAGCTTTATTTGTAAACATGGAAGAATAAATATATTGCCTGTGCTTAGAGACAATCATAAAAATTAAATACTTAAATGTCTTCAAAATGTCACTTAACACTTTCTTTCATTAAGCTTTTCAAGTACAACTCAAAACTGAGAAAATTAAAAAATTTCAAACCAAAATGAACTAATCAAAAGTAGTTTTACAGGCTTATTCAAAAAGTGAAAAGACTTTCTATATTATAAAATTGATGAATTAAATTATGCTTACAGAAAAGCAATGTAATAAAAAGTCAAACAAAATATTTGATGTCATACACCATGTTAACAAATAAAACTTCAAATTAATCAACACATTATAAGTTGAAATAAAATTTCTAAGATGATTGATAAAATACATACCATCATCTCTAACATCAACGTACATGTTGCGCTTTTCACTTTTTCGTTCCATACTCAGATCATGAGAGAACTTGCATTTATCACCTTTTGTGCATTGGCCTTGTTTATAAAATGCGCATAATACAGACTTAGGATCAGCACCTGGTATAAGACAAAATAATATTTATAGATAAAAAAANAAAAATTTTTTTTTTTTTTTTTTTTTTTTTTTTTTTTTTTTTTTTTTTTCTGATTTGCTGAAAATTGATCTTTTTACTTGCATTACAAGTTCCAATTAGTAAAATTTGATTATAAATTTTTAAGAAATATTAAAAAACTCTTTAGTTAAAAGTTCCTTTTTAAAATTATAACAAATAAACACCAAAATGAAAAATATTAGCATATTTTACAATTTGGAACTTTCGGGTTACATTTTGAAGTAACTTTTTATAAGAAAATGTTTAAAATAAAAGATAACTAATTACATTAAAAGACATAGAATTTTTTCTCTTTTTTCACAATTCCCAGATTATTTCAGAGCTAAAGAAATAAGGAATTAAGTATGCATTGATAAATATATAATATAAAAATAACTTATTTGTAAAGAAAAAATAATTTCCATAGCAAATTATGACAAATTCTTTAAGGCAAGTATTAAAGAATTTAGCTTAATTTGCTAAATAAAATTTATATTTTAAAGAACTATCTTTATTATCAAAGTTTAGATCTAGATTCAATAAAATTGACTGCTGTTTATATAAGGTAAGGTATATAAGGTGACATTATATAAGGTAAGCATTTTATTTAGCTTCATTATTTTGTTGTTTACATTGCACCATTACATTAGTCACAAAAATGCAATGTTTTATATTTTTGAACTTTTTCCATTTTTATACAAAAAAGTACATTTGTCAAAATTTTTAATTTTCTTATATCTGTATTCAAATTCGAAATATAAATTTTAGACATAGTAGATGTAAAAAAAAAAAAGTTGTTATGACTAACGTAACAATTTAGATGTGCCTAACATAACAATTGAGATATGACTAACTTTAAAGATAATTGGAAAACATATGAAGATGTTACAGTAACGATATACACTGTTGTAACACACAACAGAAAAAACATCAATGATGATTTAGTTCTTCAATCTTTTGCAGTGATATCCAACTCCTCCTTGTTTGGAAGTAAGTTGTTTAAATATATTATAATAAAGGACTGTAAACAGAACTTGAGATACAAAATAAACAAAGTTATTATGTGGCCGGATGGAGCAGCAGCTCATTTTAAAAGGTGCTTTAACATGGCATTAATGTTTACAAATCTTTGGTACACAGAATGGAACTTCATCGAGTTTTACCATTACGAGGGCCCTCATGATGATAGCTTGTAGGTGCAGCATGTAAGAAACATGTATGCCATGCATATAAGCAACATTTTACAATGGAAAATAATTGCAAGGACTGCAAAAGAATTTTTCAACCCATTCCTCTTTCAATGTCTATCTTCATATCGGCAAATAAGATTTTGGAAAAAATTGCAAAGGCCAAAGAATTAGTGAGAAGTGCCAAGCTACTTCATGGCACTTAATCTGCACACTGTATAAAAAATCTCAGAGAAGGTTTTATGTTAGCCTATATCTTAATTTAGGAGGTACAGCACCATTTCAGGAATCAATAAACCTTAAAGAAGAATTCATTTCAGGGAAGTAGTACTTGTTTTTTTTATGACTGTAACTGGTATATTGGCAGAACACTAGAATTCTATGAAAATTTAAATATGTAGGTATAAAGTTGAATTTCTGAAAGAAACGGAATGCCTGATGATATTTGACCTATAAAAACTAAGTTTTTTTCCTTCGACAGGTCTATTAAGTTAAATAAAAGGTCTTAGATTTACAATTCCTTATACTGCTCAAAGAAAATTGATTGTACAACATAAAAAGTTTAAAAAAACGTAAAAGTAATGTAAATGTTACAGTAATTAGTCACATGCAGTCTTAAGTATGTACTTTTAATAAATGTGTAATATATTTTCTTCATAGTTAATTTGCCTGCTTAACTTCCAGAAAAATTTGCCTTATAATATAAGCCTCATTTTTCACAGTTGCAAAAATATAAAATTTGTCACAATGCAATTTTTGTTGAAAAAGTATCTTTTAATAGTAATTTTGCTTTAAATTCTTGGTAGAAATTATATATATGATATATATATACAACGTTGTTGCTGAGTGGGAGGATTAAAACAGGTCTTAGGCAGGGGAGGAGGGTCAGGGGTCTTTCCAGACATTTTGTGTAAGGTCCGTTTTTGTAAAATTGTGAAAAAATTACTCGTAATTTGTGAATATAAAATAAAAAGTCACATTCTTTCAACCAGGGAATGAATGAATTTGTGTAAATAGGGTCCGTTATTGCTAAATACTTTTTCAAGGAGTTTTTATATTGTAAATAGATACTACATTATGCTCAGCACTGTAAAATTATAATAAAAAAAATTTCCAAAATAAACAGCAATTGCTGCTTCGAAATTAGAGATGCAACATACAAATATTTGGTATTTAGCCTATACTGCTGAACGCAGAATATTCATTTCGGACGAATAATGGAAGAAGCATCTGCCGAAGACAAAACTTAATTCGCTTACATCTATCTTTCTTGTTTTTCCCCCTGGTAAGGGTTTATTCGATTAGCAGAACAATAATGAAGTTAAACAAATTTGTGAAGGGCTAGATTAAAAGAAAAATAATTTTGTGAAGGGTCCGATTTTATGAAAAGATATTTCGTGAAGGGTACGCTAACGGACCCAAATTTCTCCTAACAGACCCCTGAGGGTACAAAATTTATTTATTAATTATTAGACAGAGAATGTTTATCAAAGCAATCATGAAATGTTGTGTTCCTCATTATAAGTTAGGGGAAATCTTGTAAAGTAAATCCGTAAAATGTTTCATTTTAGATAATAAGGGAAATCATAGTAATTGTAACTGGTTTATTAAATAGATTCCCACAAAGAGCAAAGGGAAAAATGTATTGCTTTTAATTAATGCATACTTGAGTCAAAAAATAGATTTAAGGACAGGATGTGAATTGAAAAGTGTGAGAAAATGTTTCGATTACAATAATAAAAGAAAAGGATTTACAGAAAAGGAATAACATAAAAAGATCAATTGAAGCTTTTTATGTTACATGTATATACGGTAGACATTGTAAATCCATAAAATTTTTTTTATAAATTACTTTTTAGTCTTTAAGTTTGAAGTAAAAATTTTTTAAAAATCAGCTCTGACAGTTACATTAGTCTCCATGGAATGACCAATATGTACTTAAAAATCTAATCATTTCTGAATAATAAATTAATCTTGTTGAATTACATTTTTGTAATTCTCATCTGTTGAATTAAATTTTGTAATTTTGTATCTTTTCATAATATGAAAAACAATTTTTTCATGGACTGAAGAAATAATCTTTCAACATCCTTTTTAAATGTTGCAAATAATTATCAAATAATCCTCATAAAAAGAAAACTTTTATTGACAGTTACATGGATGTTTGTATTAAATTTCTATTCAAAACATTTATTTTTCCCTTGTCAAGTTGACAAAAATATATCAAGGTCTTTTAGGATCTTTAAAAACATGTGATATCAATCATATCAGGATTCCACTTATATGCTATAACATGATTAATATGCCAAAAATTGTAAAGGGGACTGGAAAAATAAGTTATGAGTCCCCTGGGATGCATGATTCTTCAGCATGAAATAAAAAGTGTGCCAGATTTTTACACATATTATATACAACTCTTTAAAAATATCTTTTCTTTTGTAGCTAATAGCTGGATAAAAAAAATTAGAATCATTCTGAGCATTTAACTACATAGTTGCTTTTCCTTGATGCAGGTGTTTGATCAGTCCTAATTAACAGTTTTGATAGTTCAAATATAACTAACTCTTCTTGATTTGAAATTTTTTGTTTTGTCTTTCAATAGATAAAATAATGATAGATGGCTAAAAAAGTTGAAGATTTATATTTTTAATAGTGATGTGCTTTCAGTAAAAAGGGACACAGAATTATGGAAGTCCCGATCCCTAAAGACCTGTAACTTTTTTTAGTCTAGCAAAATCACAGCATATGTGTGCTTAAAGTAACATAATAAACCAAAATGAAATGCAATAAATAATGCTACTTTTATAAGAAATTATTGTAACATGTAAAGTAGCTATATATATAAAAAGGCACAATTATTTTAAGGATGATAACTTGTCTAAAAAGTTTAATGGTATAGTAACATGCCAGATAGTACCTTATAAAAAAAAAAATAGAATAAAATTTCAGAAAAATGCAATCATAAAACTAATATTGATTGAACATCAATACCTTTCTCAACTTTTTGAACTGGACGAAATATCTGATTCAACTCATCAATTTCTTTCTTCTTTTCATCTTTCTTTTTATCACCAACTTTGGCAAGTTCGGCCTATGTCAAATGTAAAACAAATGTGTTAAACATCCGATTTTGTTTTACTCATGTTGAAATTGTAATTAGTTATATACACTCAATAATTCAAGTGAAACTAAAACAAATATATTTAAAGCAGTGAAAGTAATAAAATATTTAGTTACCACACCATTCAAAAAATAAAAAATAAATAATCACAAAATTTATAAAATATATTTAATTTTAAAAAGTTCCATAACCGACTCATTTTCATGCCAGTCTCAAGATATAGGCCTAAAATTGAAATTATATCAAGCTTTTTCTTTTCGTTCAATTTATTCTTGAATTGTATATAATAAACTGTCATTCAAAATATTTATACTTTTGGATCCAATCCAGAAGACAAGGGAACTTCTGGATCAATACCCCTAGAGGGATTGGTTTGTTATGGGAACTTGGAGGATTTCATGACTCTGACAGATTTAACATCAGTGTTTTCACTAAAGCACGAGAACCTTGCATATTTTTTTCCTTTCTCGCATTAAAAAATAATTAAAGCGAGAAGTTCGTGCACTCTATTTATCAATTTTAAAATGCTCGAATCTCTCAAATTCTGGAAAAAATTTTGTCTTCCGCCATTTTGAAAAAGACATGTGTTAGAAAAGAACAGCCATGACAAGCGTTGAGAAAAAAAAATGAGTACTTTATAATAAGTTGTTTAAAGTTGCTCTATTTTAAGTTTTTAATGAATTGCCAAACTCACTCATCGACAATTTACAGCAATTTGTAAAAGTTGAAGTCTCTGAAAACTATGCTGGAAGACCTAACAAGAAGTATGAACATGGAAATAACTTCACTACGAACTTAATTATTCTATAGCAGAAATAATTGAAAAGCCTATGCTGGCAGTTGTAGAGGACAGGAAAGTGTGTGCACAATGCTGCAAATTTACTTAGTGATTCCGAATAGCTCAGCATCTGTTGCAAGGTCATTTAGCACCCAAAACCGCATTAAGACAAAACATCGTAACAGATTGACTGATAAGCATTTGAGCAACCTAATGAGAATAGCTGATGAAAAAGTAGATATAGAATCTTTTCCATGTGATAATGCCGCATAAATATTAAATGCTTTAAAAATTAGAAGATGTTAATTAAAGAAATATTTTTTTCCAAGTCTATTCGTGTTTTTTTTAATTTTTAGAAATCTCACTTAACTTTTTGAAATCTCACCCAGTTTTTGAGAAAGGGTGAGAAATTCTCTCTCATTTTTTTTCTGTAATGAAAACACTGGACATGCACCAATCACCAATTAATACACAGGAATTTTTCAGTCGACTGGATTCAAACTCCCATTCTCACGAACGCAAGTTCAATACCTTATCAAGCACGCTAACAGAAACAATCTCACAATTTTCTTCTTTAATGAGACAAACATGAGCAAATAAAATACATGTGATATCTGAAAAGTTTAATTTTCAGTAAAATAAATATTAACAACTTATTTCACTTACTAAAGTATTATATATTATAAAAGACAATAAGAATAATTTTTAAGAATGACTACTTTTAAGACATTTAAAGTATGGTAAAGATAATAAACATTTTTGACGTAAGATCAAAAGTATGTTGAAAAAAATGCTAATATTATACCTGAATATTATATATTAACGAGTTCAGTGTTACATCAGACTATAGATATTCATGACTCATACTTTATTCTTCTGACTATTATTCATAGTTCGTTTAATTATATATTTGAATCACAACTCAATGAATCTCTAAAACATCTCCAATAGTTTGAAAGCATCATCTCAGTAAGCAACATACATTTTTTTTCAAATAATAAACAAACTAAAAAACTATATTAACCACATAACATAATAAAATGGCACTGTCCTTACAATCACCAAGAGAAAGGTAATAGATAAAAATGATTTGTAAAAGAAACTACTTAATACTGCACATCAACAATAACTGTTCTATGTTAAATGGAAACTCATTCTAAATTACAAAGAATAATTTTCATTTTATATCAATAATGCATAAACGTAATTAAATCACTGAATTTTATTCAATAATAATTTTTATATATCTTAAACATTTACCTTTCGAGCACTTTGATTTCCTGCTTTAACTTGATGTTGTACTTGCTGAATAAATTTCTGGTTCTTTGCTCCTTTTTTATTTTTCAATCCGAAAGTTTTGTCCTGGAATAAATATTTCAAAAAAAGTTAAAGGAGCAATAAGCTGTAATCATAGTTCATAAGTAAGTTAAAGGAGTTGTAAGCTGAAAAATATTTTGATATATTTATTTCAATTATTACATTCAAGGAATATATTAGCAACAAAATATTAGTAGATAATAGAAAATTTCTGATATGATGTGAACAGAAACATGTTTTGATTAAAGTATTTAACTTACTTCAATAATTTTTTCCTGCTTTTTAATTTCAGTTTTTTTACTTGGCCCCTGTTTCTTTGGCGGCATAATGTAAATTCTATTTGACAAATTATTTGATGGAAGACAACAGAGAGTTAATTTAAATGTGGTAATTAAAAAAAAGGAGTAAAATAAAAATTTTTAAAAATGTAAATAAACGTTCGGCTCTATTTCTTCCAAATAGACATATCACAAAAGCAGGCTGGCAGTAAGTAAAAATAACATTTCGCAGATAGATCTTGAATTACTCAAGTAAGAGGCATGTTGTGATTGGCTAGAGCAGGTTACCAGCTGTTGCTATTTATCACTATCTAAAAGCAAAGTGTAGACCAGTGTTTAAAGCTAAGAATATATAAGTGAGAATAAGAATAGAGAGTAGGAATAAAGAATATATATTCTTTTTGGTTAAAGGGCTCGGGAGTTAACGGGCGGAGAAATATGGCATGGAATGGATCTAGAAAGGGTAAACTGACAGAGATGGCCTGGACAGGTAACCAGCTGTAGTGTCTAAGAAAAAGAAGAAGCAAATATTAATGCTATGATCTTAAACAATTCCTAATGGAAAGCAATAATGCAAAAAAAAAATTTTTTTATAAATACAGAAAAAATTTTTTTGGTACTTTTCCATTTCACCGGGTCCAACAGTGGACTGATCGTAAAGACACGGTTCCCAGTAAAACACCGAAATCAAGCTTCATTGGCCGTGATCAACAAGCGGGGGGGGGGACCGCTTTGATCAGCATTCATAGGGATCGAGGGTGTGCGGTATTGGTTCACGTTAAACTGTTCTACCGTAAAGTGCTTGACTTCACGAGCAGGTCATCAAGCTACAAAAGCAGGGGCGCCGTCCCTTCTGTAGACACGCACGACTATTTAAAAATAATAATAATAAAAAAATAAAAAAAATACTAAAAACTATTTACATTTCATCTTTAGACACTATTAACATCAACACTCGCCAATAATTACGCCAATATTTATGTAAACCTAAGATACCCAGTCACTCTATATCATTTAAGACACGATGCACTAATGATAGCGATTCTGTTTGGATAGCTGTATTTGCTTATCGATTCAGAATAAAACATTCCTCTGTAATGAATTAAACTTTCATTTTCGTTGAAAAATATCACTTAAATTCTTTTTTAAAATTTCAATTTCTAAAATATTAAAAATTAGAGTCAATTTTGTATAAAAAAGTTAAGATACTTTGAATCAGAAACTTTGTTACCACTCTACTTTATCGTCTGTACTAGAGAATAAAACTTTTACGTGTGTTTCTTAAAAAAAGAGTCGGTTTTACGGTTTCTCCGGCCGACACGTTTATGTTTATTTTTAAGTAATATGTTAACATTGATCTCTAAATATTATATTTATTAACCGTATTTAAAATTAACGAGTATGATACCATCTATTTTAATAGTATTATTACAAAGTATTATACCTGTGGTAAGTAATCTACCGCCCTGTCAAGTAAATATGACAACAAACTAAACTGCTAGCTTTATAAATACCTTACATATGGTTTGTGCCGTAATCATAAAAGCTTAATATTTCAGTTTTATGATGTTTTATATTTATGATATAAATTCTTTCCCTGATTTTTCTAAATATTGTTTACTCCTCATTTGCATAAAATGAATATCTTTGGTACCCTGAGAAAAACGGGAGTGAATTTTATGTGACCGGATTTCATCACGTTTTCCTGTTAACATCTTTCATTCTACTCTTTATATGTAATTCCCTTTCAGTCTTATGATGCTACTGATTTTTGTTGAAAAATATGCTATAGATATTTCCTGAAAATATTACTGATCTTTAGATTCTGTAATAGTAATACTAATGACCAATAATACTTGTGTTAAGTATTTTGTGATTAGCTGATCACAAATAAAGTGAACTTTTTTTAAGTAAACAAAATGGCCATGACTTAAAAAAAAGGTGAATTTACCTGGCCAGCCAAACCAAAAAGTTCTTAGTTTTGTTAAATCAGGGGTATTTCTGTATCATGATCTGTTGAGCCAACTACAATTGCCAAGATGCCAAATAGATTTTTGCAAAATATTTTGAGATTGCAAATTTAAAAAAAAACATGTAAATTATTGCTCAGGGCTGGTTACGAGTTATACTTTACAAGTTAGTCCCTTTCTGTGATATTTTTTTTCTTTCTAGTTTCTAGTTTTTCTCTCTCTCTGCCCGAAAGTTGGAGGTAACACACATCACAAACAGAAATCTCTCCTCAAAATCTGCAATGTTTTAATGAAAAACTTAGGCCATGATTTATTATTAGGAGAAACTTTTAACTGCCATTTTTAGGAAGATTTGGATCACTATATCAAAGAAGCCACCAACAAAACACAAAACTGATTGACCCTTTTCTTTTATTTTTTTTTTCCAATCTTTGTTCTCGCAGGTCAGGGAGAGCGGAGAATTTTATTTTAACTCTAAAAATAAGAGAAAGCTTCATTTTTAACCTGTAAAATTCCTACATCTTACCTGGAAAATAAACAGTCTTAGAATTGTCAGTCATCAGTTATTGAGATTCAATTTAAATAATTCTAACAATTATTTGGAAAAATTGGGGAATTTTTTTTTTCCTTTCTGAAATTAAATGGAAACCTTGACAATCAAAAAGGTGCAATTCTTTTTGCCAAACCCCAGGCAAACTACTAGGTTTTACATATATTTTAAAAGTTATTCCAAGTACAAACATCTGCACTTTATAAATACTGATGAAGTTTGAAGCTGAAATATCCACCATTCTTAGGAAAATGTTCCTTTTAATCTCTAAACAATGTTTTCACTACAGCGCGAGAATCTTGCATATTTTTTTCATTTCTCGAAATAAAAAATTATTAACGCGAGAAGTTCACGCACTCTATTAATCAATTTCAAAATGTGCCAATTTTGGAAAAAATTTCGTCTTTTGCCATTTTGAATAAAATCTGTTTCACTTTTCTTTCTTGATCTTTCATTATTCTGAACATCTGTCCTTGTTATCTAGCTTCCCTATTTACCAGTATTGTTCAGAACCAGTGCGAACAACAGAACACCCCCCCAAACCACAAAACCCCTTTCAGAACACATTTCTCAGCAACCACGTGTTCACCGTAGGTAAGGTATCTTCATGTAAGACGTTTACATTTTTTGTGCATGAATGTAAGATGGACTAATACCTTCTTAAGGCGACATCTTCTACTCAGTAACGGACAAATGAAAATTAAACAAATGTCGGTAGAAACGAAACAAATACGGATATTTTTCAGCCAAATAAGTATAATAGCTGATGAAAAAGTAGATATAGAACTTATTCCATATATGTAGCAAAAATATCCAATTAGAAGATCTTAAAAATGTATTATAATTAAAGAAATAATTTTTTTCCAAGTCTATTCGTGATTTTTAATTTTTAGAAATCTCACTTAACTTTTTGAAATCTCACCCTGTTTTTGAGAAAGGGTGAGAAATTCTCTCCCATTTTTTTTCTGTAATGAAAACACTGTCTAAATTTAAAAGGATTTCTTTTTTAAAACTTGAATTTATAATGTTCTAGTGAAGCTATCAATTAAAGTTTTTAAAAAAAATCAATTTTCGTATTTTATGTTTGATCATTTTAGGAGATATTTGGAAACTGGTGCTTGTTCAAAAATATAATATAGTGGCTTGTCTACAGGTGGCCATTAAATCCTAGTTTTACATTTTCAGTTTGCCTTATTCTGTGATTTTTTTTTCTTCTTCATTCTCCTGTGAAAACTTGTTGAATGCTGCAAAACTTGTTGAATGTGGCTATCTTGACTTCGATACTGACATAGAAGTCTTTCATTATAATAACTCAAATGATTTCAATAAAAAAAGTGTGGCAATTTAAATAAACAGCCATACATTAAAAAAAAGACATTTAATGATAGAACTAAAGCAATGCAGAAAGAGAATTTGTCCAATGTCACCATTCAAAATTTTGATTCTTTAGAATCTATCAATTTGAGTTAGAAGGATTCACATGCAGTGTTTTCATCATAGAAAAAAAAAATGAGTGAGAATTTCCCACCCTTTCTCAAAAACAGTGTGAGATTTCAAAAAGTTAAGTGAGATTTCTAAAAATTAAAAAAACACAAACTCTTGAAGAAAATCATTTCTTTAATTATAATACATTTTTAACGTCTTCTATTTTTTAAAGCATTGAATATTTTTGGTGCATCATCATAGAATATTTTGCCTTTTGAAGGTATTTGGCCATCTTACATAAGTGCATACAAAATTTGAACGTCTTATATGAAGAAACCTTACCTAAGGTAAACACTTGGTTACAGAGAAATGTGTTCTGATAGGGGTTCCGTGGTTGTGGATTGTGGTTCCGTGGTTTTCAAAACTATTGAATAAATGAAATTTTTAATTAAATACTTGTCTATAGTGTTCATTAAACTTTTGTTTCTTCATTATTAATTTTGTTAAAGTAATAACTTAACACTCTAATAACTTAATTAATTTTAGTTGTTTATGACTCATGGTGCTGATGCAAAAGCAGTTAGTCTCACTGAAGATAATTTTGATCAATATGTCAGTGAGTATTTTTTATTTCATTCGTTTGTATTTATCATTAGATCAAGTAGAGTGTATAAAAATTATTATTCTACATCATTGTCATTTCTTTTTCAGAAAACCATGAGCTGGTGTTCCTTAATTTCTATGCAGATTGGTGTAGATTTAGTCAGATGCTAGGACCTATTTTTGATGAAGCTGCTGAACAAATAGCTAAAGACTATGTGAGCATAACTAATTTCATAATAGATGTGTTATACTGAAACATTTTACTTATTAAAGATCATTGGTCTCTTATTTAGCAATGTCAAGAGTTTAAAAATTGAAAAAATAACCTATTTCTTTTTCTCCAGGTGTTGAAAGTTAATTGATAATACTAATTCCAATGCATTTTCACTTATCTATATCAGGTCTACTTGTCTATATCAGGTTATTTGCTTAAACAAAAGGTTAATAAACTGAATTTTGGGAAATTAAAATACAAATATCTTATTTTTACAGTTATGATGAAATATAAAAGTTGGCGACTGTAACTTAGACCGTAAGCAGGGTTACCACTCCACAGGGAAAACTTAGAAAATATAGGAAATTTAAAAATCACCTACAACAACAGGAAAAATGCAGGGAATTTTGATTTTTTTATTTACAAACTGGGTAAAGACAGGGAATTTTGTTTATTTTTGTCTTTTAGAAAAGGGTAATCAATCAAAGTGGAATTTATGGGATATTTAAGGATATTTCAGCTATATTAAACTAGTTCATTTACTATAGCATCATTTGTTTTAAGTATGTTCAGTTGTTCTTTTTTCCCTTAAGTTTTTTCAGCAATTATAACTGGTTTAGTTAGCCCAATACAGCTCAAAAAAGAGCACAGTGATTGTGTTTTTCCCCTTAATTTATTCTGTACAGGGAAAACACAGGGAATTTGTTTTCCAGATTTGAGTGGCAACCCTTATAACATAAAACTGAAAATCTAAAAAACCAAAACGGTGTGCCTTTATTTTATATCAATTGCTGAATATTATTTTATAGTGGTCCTAGTCAGATTTCAGCAATCCAGGATGTAAGAGCTGCCACTAATTTGGAATCCTGTTTTTGACATTTTATGCAAATTGTTACTGTAAACTAAAAATTTTTACACTTTACTTGATATGATATCAATGAAAAATAGATATCAATGGCAAATATAATTAGAAGTCTTTAATGTATGTGCTGCTTTAGTATATGTCTCAATTACTTAATATATCAGATACCACACAATATTTGTTGACATAGTGGTTTTAAATTTATAACAATAAAAAAAATTTGAATTGCATATTTCCACTTTCACAAAAATCATAAATTGAAACTATACGTTTTTTATTTATATATTTATTTATTATTATTGTTTATTTTTTTTACATAGAAGTTAATTTTCAATTAAATGTTTGTTTGTTTTTGGTCNGACTGGTATCTTTTTTTATTCATCAAAAAGTAATTTTTTTTTCTTCATATATATATATATATATATTTTAAGATAAATTTGAAGAAAAAAGATATTCTACTTTAATTTAATCATCTACCTACTTTTACTATAAATTATCAAATCTGACGATACTCCATTTTTTTAATACTAGTACGTAACAATAATTAATTATAAATGATTACATATTTATTCTTTGCTTATGAGAATATATAGGTTTGAGAAACTGATTTGTTACTTCAGCTGTTTTGCGGCGATTTTTCTAAGTCCGTGGTTTTCATTGAGCTCAATTATTTAATTATATTTTGGTTACAAACATTTCATTATGTTTCTTCGTTTGTTCTTTTATAGAATATTCCATTATCCATTTTATGCAATCGAAATTTAAAATCTGTTTTTAAAAAGCTAAACTGACAATTTATGTATTATTACTTTTAGGATGTCAAAAAAGTTTTGTTTGGAAAAGTGGATTCTGTTAGTGAGTGTAAGTCGTAAAATGATTTGATTATTTATTTTTAATGTGAATATTTGACAACTCTTTAACTTTCAATGACAAAAGTGCCTCTGTCTATTAAATTTCTATTCAATAATAATGAATTACAGTAAAACCTCCAGGAAAGACCACCACTGTGTACCGGCCTCCATTTTCGGCAAGTAATTTTTTTATAGACTCCCTAAAGAAACAATTTTTTTTTAGGATGAACCATCAAAACCTTTCTTAGCTTCTGGGCAAACCCCTGCCCCAAATGCGGAAAAGCTCAAATTAGGAAGCGCAAAAACAATTCCTGCAATCTTAACAAAAAATATTAATGTATCATATAAGTAGTTTAAAGTGTATTCAAAGTATTTGTGTTAGACAATGCTATCTATGATTTATTTTAACTGTCACGAAATTGTAATTTTCACTGTGATGTTACTACTTTGAATTAAATTTTAAAAAAAAACATATTTAAAAAAGTGAGCATCTCATACAAACAAGCCTTTTCTCATCTTTAAAATATTTTTTCTGATTTAAAATTAAAGGCAAGCTTTAAGAAACATAATTGTTTTGTTTTTTTTAAAAAACAGTTTTGTCATTTATAATTGGTAAATTTGTTTTTACTTTTTACATGTTGTAGGGGTCATTTTTATGCATGGATGTGGTTTTCATGACGACAACACAAGTGGCATTTCTGCACCAAGAAAATGACACTAAGTAAAATTAAAATCGTGTGTGAAAAATCATGTACCTTTGATAATAGTTTGAAATCAATGGAGGTAACACCTAAGAATGACCATTTTATTGTGGTTCAGAGACTGGTCGCTCCCGATAGGTTTCACTTTATTTATATTTTGTAAATTATAAAAGTAAGTTAAATTAAAGAAAAAATTATGTTGGAAAATAAATAACAATAGTATAATCTTTTTTCTTTAATAAAAATTTTTGCATATAGGCAAGTTTTATGATCATGATTTTTATATTTAAAAATTACTGTGGAATTTAAACAAAAATAATGTAATAGAACATAGTGTTTTGCAAGATTTAAATTTAAATCCAACTAACAAAAACTCTCCTTTTATTATAATCTTTTTTTTTGTTAACACATATCAGTTTATTTTGTGATATATATACATGCAAATGTACACATATTTGTAATGGTGACTCTTTTAATATTCCTTATCAATGTAATAAATGATTCTCTTTTGTAGCAAATCTTGCTCAAAGGTTTAAGATTTCTAAGTATCCAACTTTGAAACTGCTTAGAAATGGGAAACTGATGAAACGTGAATATCGTGGCCAGAGATCCTTAGAAGCCCTCGTTGAACATATAAGAGATTTGATGAAAGATCCAGTGAAAGAGTTGGAAACAGTTGAAGACATCCAAAATGTTGATGTAAGCTTACATATTTAATAGGCATATATAGTTTACTTATGTAGTCTTAGTTTTTCCAAAAAGCTCAGAATTGGAGCATTTTTGGTTATGCAAGTTTCAGCAAATAGTTTTGAGAACACTATACCCCAAGAGTAACTTTGAATGACATATTCTGTTTAACCTCCAATAGGTGAATTCAGGTAATTGGAGAATACATCATAAAGTTTCAAATGCTGGAAAAAACATTTTCGAAATTAAACCAAATTAGGACTAGAGTTAAGAGTATATTTCTTAATTCTCAAATTAAGACTGTTTCTTAATTAGGAGTCCTAATTATTTACTTTTGAACTTGCAAACTTACTAAACATTTTGCAACATTTGCTTAATTTCCAAAATCTCTAACCGTGAACTACCGGTATACCTGTAGAACCAATAAATTCTGGGCTCCACTGTGATTGTAAATGAGAGTTAACTGCTGATAAAATTATTATTTATTTTATATCAGGTTTGAGCAATTGAAAAGTAATTTAGAATTAATCAGAGATAAAAATTTTATTTATGAATATATGCAATATTTTTGATGTATTCATGAACCTTGAGCAAAAAGTTATATTTTTTGGTACAGCAGTTTTAGGTAAAACTGGGAATCTATTGTGTATATATATTTCAAAGTTATTGATGCTCTTTTTCTTTAAAAAATATTAATTTTAAGCATTTGTTGAACTTCAGTAGTATTTAAATTTTTTCCCAAATACCATTTTTTTATATATATATATAAATTACTGTTAAAAGATACTTCATTTTATAAATTAACAACTTGATGGCTAATAAATTTTGATTTTATCTTCAAATAACTAATTAGTGTCCTTTCAAATAAACTCTAATTTTTTTTTTCATTTTTTATTTATCTCTGTAATTATTGCATTGTAACTTATATCTGACATTATTGTATAGCCCATTATTTATTTCTGTAGGCCAACAAAAGAAAAGTTGTTATTTATATCCCAGATAAAAGCTTGCACGAATATGATGTCTACTTAAAAGTTGCCATGGATTTAAGAGATGACTGCCAATTTTATATTGTTAAGGGGTAAGTAAATCATAAAATTGTTTTAATTTTCCAGTTAACTTTAATTTCTTTTGACGCCCGGTGGGTAAGAGGTAGCGCTTCACGCTGTCGTTCCACAGGTCCCTGTTTCGATCCTCGTGCCGGGCAAGGTTGACTCAGCCTTTCATCCCTTCAGTGGGTCGATAAATGAGTACCAAGCATGTTTGGGGACTAAACACTGGGGGTTCCGCGTTCGGCTGACCACCTGACCGGAACATCTGCTCCTGCACCCCAGAGCCCAAGGTCAAGAAAATTGAGATGGGCACGGTAGACTTTGGCCCTCTATGGGCTGTCGCGCCGCTGAGTTTAGAGTTTTCATTTCTTTAGCTTTTTTATAATTTAATTATGATTCATTTCCACCTCTTCCAGAAAAAAAATCATAAAACTTTATGTTCTTTTTGAAATATTTTATGTTTTTTGAACCTGTAGTTGATTTCACAAAAGTTCGAAGTAAAGAAAAGATTCATTTTCAAGTTAAATTCTGAACAGTGAAGAGTAGATAAAAAATATTAAAAAATTCAGGGTGAATAGAAGAGTTTCATTCTGTACTTAGTCAGCAAAAGTACTGAATATATATAGAATATGAACAGTATACTAGATTCCTATTGTGTATTGGAACTATTGTTTTTTTTACCTGAAACAAAGCAATGAAAAAAATTACAAAATCATCCAAAAATAATGCACTAATAAAAGATGATCTGCAATGCTTCTATGAAGCAAAGAGAAGATTCATTTTCAAGTTAAATTCTGAACAGTGAAGAGTAGATAAAAAATATTAAAAAATTCAGGGTGAATAGAAGAGTTTCATTCTGTACTTAGTCAGCAAAAATACTGAATATATATAGAATATGAACAGTATGCTAGATTCCTATTGTGTATTGGAACTATTGTTTTTATTTTTTTTACCTGAAACAAAACAATGAAAAAATTACAAAATCATCCAAAAATAATGCACTAATAAAAGATGATCTGCAATGCTTCTATGAGTCTCATATGTGTTTGAATGTGGGCAAATCTTGTACATTCCATTATAGTTCTCATTCATTAAAATTGTTTTGAGAGAAGCACAATATTATGCAAATTGTATTTCTTATTGTCATAAAACTGTTTTCTTTTGATAGGCCTTTGGGTGAGTCTTCTATATCACCAGAAAAGAAAGCAAAAATTATATTTAGCCCATCAAAATCTAAAGTGAGTAATTATTCTTGATTAATTAATAATTATTAGTTAATTGATATTTTTCACAAAAACATTAGCATGTTTAAGGTTTGTTTATAAATTGTAACATAATATGTTAAAATCTAATGGTTGGTCAAATGTTAAAGATCATTCTTCCTTTTTTTAATAATAATAATTTTTTCCACTGTCTGTGATTTAATTAGACACTTCTCCCTTCTAATTTCTTATATTGCAAATACTAAATCATTCCTTCAGTTAATTAAACTACATTTAAAATATTTTATACAGGTAGGTGCAAACGATGAAGAATACATTGGTGTTTACCAAAGTTATGATGAGTTAAGCGCTTGGAGCACAAACAGATGTATTCCATTAGTAAGAGAAATAACTTTTGAAAATGCTGAGGTATAATAAGAACTTTTCATACATATAACCTTGATTTTATAGGGATGCCACTTAATGCAGATTTTTTATAAATCGAATGTATAGTTAAAACTATGTAAAAATATACTATATGTAGCCATATATATGTATATATAAGTGAGAGCTAATTTTCAGAACAGAATCTGTTACTTTTGTACTTTTTAACTTTACAATCTAATCAAGAACAATACCAGTTAGTTACAATTTTATTAAATTGAACTCATTCAGCAATATGGCATAGTTTGTTTTTATGAGATACTTTTTTTGTACTTTTTAGCCCATAAAATTGACTACAATTTAGGGGCTCTTTAAAATTTACTGCATTAAAAAAATATAGAGTCTTGAGTGAATTTAATGATTAGAATGTAAATATAAAAGATGTAAATATAATTGAAATCTTTGAAACAGTCAGAGTTATAATCAATGGATCTAGGCCACCGACAACGTCAACTGTCATCTATCTATAGGTACCTCCTGATAGAATCAAGTTAACACGTCTTATATACTAGTGAATAATTGTAGTGGTACATTTTACAATTCTACACTACAATACTCCCCCACTAGAATTTTATCTGGGATAGAATTCGACGAGTGGATATCACTAATTGATTCATTGCTGTTATGTGAGATGTCGGAAGAGCTGTGTTAACCCTTTCTAAGGCCGTGGTATGTATACTTGCCACCAATTTGAAATGTCCATTGTGAACTATTTAACCATTTTTAATTTGACTTTTCATTTGTTAATAACTTTAGATCTGATTAAACACTTTTGAATGAATTTAGTGACCATATGCCAATTTTGAAAACATTTAAAGCACTATAATATGAATAATTCCTTTTGCAGTTTGTAGTACTAACAAATTTTTTTGTTTTTTAAATAAAAAAATAAAAGTCTTGCTTACTTTCTTAATAAAGACCTAATGAACCGTAATATCTCCAAATAGTGGCTTTAAATTAATTTTATCTGATAGGCTAAATGAGTTTTTTTTTCTTTTATAAATTTCAATTCCGAAAATATTTTAATTTACATTTACTGGGATTAAATGACCCTTTAAAGGGTTAAGATCACCAGACTTTTAAAACTGGTGGTAAGAGCTGTATTAAGATCATCGAACTTTGAACACTAGTCTTAATTGTTGTATTAAGGTTACGATTGTGTGCATGGTCACTCCTATGTTGTTCTTAAAATTTCAGTGTGTTCATGCCGCCATTGTGTTTTTTTTTTAGATTGAGTAGCAACAGCACGAAGACAATGTCGCAGTCACAAACAGCAAGTCAACTATTCACCTAACTAGGTGTGTTTAAATCCAAGTGGGCATTTCAGTTGAGGTATGCGTAATGATTGAGGCAGACATGTTTGGATCACGTCCGCAAGTCACCCATGTAGATTTTGGCTACTGACAATCTTAACCGTCTAAAGGTACTTCCAGATAGGATCGAATTAACATGCCTTATATACTAGTGAATTGGAATTGAATAATTATGGTGTTAGCTACGCTACAAATCACGAAATAGATGACAGAGTCATTTAGCTATTTAGGTTCTATTGTAGATAAAAAAAAAGGTGGAAGTAGTGAAGATATTAGACAGAGAATAATCAAAGCAAGAACATGTTTTAAGGGATTACATAAATTTTGGAGAGAGTCAAATATTGAAATAAAGACAAAAATAGTTGTTTACAAAGCTATTGTTAGAGCAGTACTATTATATGGCGCAGAAACCTGGAAACAGACTAAGATCGAAATACAAAAATTAGAAACCTTTCAAAACAAATGTTTAAGATTTATTTTTAAAATTTTCTGGCCTTGCAAAGTATCAAGTCAAAATCTTTTAAAGAAAGCTAAAATAAAAACAATAGAAGATGAAATTAAAAAACTAAGATGGAGCTGGCTCGGACATATCCTTAGAATGTCCAAAGAAAAAATTACATCTGTTGCGCTTACATGGGCCCCTGATGGTAAAGAACAAGAGGAAGACCTAGACTTACCATCCAGCGCATGTTTTTGGGCAAATTAAAAGAATGTTGAATATCTGGCTGGGAGGAAGCAAGATCTTTTGCTAGAGACAGGAGGTGTTGGAGGGATATGCTAGAGGCCTTAAGTGCTCAAAGGCACGTAGAGGATAACGTAACATAGTTACGCTACAAATCAGACACTTTAATAGTCTGATTTAAATTAAAATCTTGCTCATGATAAAAACTATAAAAGTTAAAAATCAATTTAATGTAAATTGGCATCCCTAATATAACTAGACTGAAAATAGTAGAAACATTCTGCTTATTAATTAAAAATGTTTTTGGTTATTGTGTATTGTATTCTGTAGGAGTTAACAGAAGAAGGTTTACCATTCTTAATCTTATTCCATCACCCAGATGATACAGACAGCCCTAAAGCCTTTACTAATGCAGTACAAAGTCAACTTCTGGATGATAGAAGTGAGTAATTTGTTAATTATTGCATAAGTTAAAATATGGGTAAATCACAATTTTATTCAATGCAGAATAATTGTTCATAAGTTTTATGTAAGTAAAAAAAATATATTATGTACTTCTGAAATTATATGTAGAAGGTACCTAGTTTCATTAAACTATTCTTCTACTTTAATAATAAAAAGATATCTCTAAAAGATATAGAACTTAAATAAATAGCAGAATTAACATGACAGATAAAAATAACTGTTGTAAATTTACAATAATATATTCATTGTATATTAGAGGTTAGTGATAATTTATTGAGTTCACTATTTACTTACATAATTATTAATTTATCACTAACTATCCCATTTTTTGCAGCACTTGTTAACTTTTTAATTGCTGATGGAATGAAGTTTGCACATCCTCTTCATCATCTTGGAAAAACTCAAAAGGATCTGCCTCTAGTTGCTATTGATAGTTTTCGACATATGTACTTATTTCCAAATTATGAGGATATTAAGTATGGGCTTTTAGATAAAGATCCTATTAGATATTCAAATAAGTTTATTTTTATAAATATATATATATATATATATCAGGGGTCTCGGTTTTTCTGAGAGGTACCTATTTTGTGAAAATTTAGACATAATTTGTGAAAACTTAAAATTATATTAAGAAATAAACGCAAAAATATGGTAAAAAGATTGATTTATCGTTTCTTACGGAATACAAAAGTAAAATGTTCCGTTTGTCCTAAAGTTGAATTTTGTGAAGGTACAGTTAACGGAAGTAAATTTGGCCTGGACAGACCTCTGTATGTATATATATATGAACTAAAAGTATGCTCAATAGAAGATATCTTAAGTTAACTATATATATATGTATATAAGATTTATATTGTTTATAGTGAGGTACCATACAAAAGTTCCATTTCTTTATCCTTTATTTTTAGGCAAAGAAAGGTTGGCAACTTTTTTTTCTTCTTTAATTAGTATTTACTCGTATGTTAACAGCAAAATCGAAAGTGCCCATTACTTGTAAACAAAGCATGATATTAAGGTTTGGTAGATGTAAATCAAAAGGAAAGAAACGACTCACTATTTTCTTTTCCCTTTCTTTTTTCAAAGAAGCATTAATGAGTTGAAGGCAAAAGAAAAACATATTTTTTATTCAATTCATCATTTTTTAATTTTGAAAAAAAATTTAAGTTTAGGCAATTTAATTAAAAATTTAAGGAAATTATTAATCTAATTAAGAAAAATGGCAGTGTAAGAAATCCCAATTAATCCATTGGTATATTGCAATAAATAGTAATATTGTATGATGTGCACTGCAATACTAATTATTTATGCATTTTGGGAAAAGAAAAATATGGATTAAGAGATTACTTTTACAGGGATGAGATTTTTCAGCGGATTTCCGCCTTTTTCACTTTTATCTCTCGAATTTAAGCTTTTTTTTTAAATCAAAAGCACCCATTCTCTAAAAGTTTGACTTTTTTTTTATAAATATTGCTATTTTTCTAAAAATTCAGCTGTTTAAATAAAATAATTATATTTATTTCCGTTTTTCATATCTAAACAGAATATTTAAAATACATAGTTACCAACCCTACTGCGTTTTTGACTATTTTCTCCACTTTTATGCACAGAAAATATCTTACAAGATTTTTCGCATTTTTACCCGCCCGCCAGATTGCACTTATTTTCGTAATTCAGACGTCGCTGCTTCTATGTTTAAAAAAAGTGACGTGTGAAAAAAATAAAGACTGTTCATTTGTGGTGAAAATATTTATTTAGCCTCTTAATTAATCTTTTAAATTTTTATTAATTATGGCTAAACAAAAACAATATAAGCAAGCTTCATATAAATCCAAGCCCGGAATCTGCTAATATCTTGATTCTTAATTTAGTGATTTTAATATCAAACATCGATTCTTGTATTTGCCTAATTTAAAGGTTACACACTGCGATTATTATTCACACGAATTAAATATCGTACATTGAGATTCTTATTTACGAGATTTAAAAATCCAATATCACGATTTGTATTTACACGTTTTGAAAATCCTATGTAGCGATTCGTATTCACACGAGTTTAAACTTTAATGTTGTGATTCGTTTATGCCATTGTAATATCAAACATTGATTTTCATATTTGTATGTGATTTTAAAATTATGCATCGTGATTCATATTTACAAGATCTAAAAGTTACACAGCATGATTTGTATTTTTGGATTTTTGAAATCAATATCGAGATCCATATTTTTGTGATTTCAAAATCCAATATGGCGATTCATATTCCATGATTTTAGAATCCAAGATCGCTATATATCATTTATATTTAAAGAAATGGTATAAGTATTTAATGGTAATAGTATTTTAAATAATATTATCATTAATATAAATGTAAATGTATATTCTCAGTAGTTTAATGTGCTAACAAAGCAGATTCTCGAGTAATAATTGTCTCCTTTGCGTGAACTGAAGAAAAATATAATTTCTAAATTTATTTTTTGAATTGGTAATTTTACTTTTTACTAATTGTTAAGTGTCGATGTAATTATTTATATATTAATAAAATAGTACACAATTTTATATTAACACATAGTTATTTATTATCTTAAATTCATTATTAAACGATTGCATACACGTAAGATTTACTCGTTTGGAAATTCAGCTTTTTTGCCTTTGAGTCAATCTCATCTCTGCTTTTAATACTATTTACTTACCTGTTGCTGTTAAATTTAAACTAATCTGATAAAAGAATTTTACTTCACGCTTTGTAAATTTGGCACTGTATGAAATAGGCTTTGTGTGAAATGCTTAATCATTTCGGGCTTTGCATGTAAATTTTCAGCACTATTATACAATATGGAATTTCTCACTTTGCCAGTACCAAACATTATCAGTAGAACTAAGCAAAACAGTTGTTATTAGTTCTGACCACTATGGAGTGATTGTTAAAATATGAAAGTTATAAAATCATTTTATTAAATAGCATATCAGGTTCAAATAAATTAATTCAATTTTACTTTATTAAAAAAAATTAGCCTGCTATTCTCCTAATCTGAATCTTGCTTTTAGTGTTAACTTTTACTTTATTTAATTAAATGATTTAACTTCATTTTAGTGTACCTGGTAAATTAAAGGAATTTGTATTGGACTTATTTTCTGGAAAACTGCATCGAGAATTCCATTATGGTCCAGATCCTGTTAGTGAGGTGTGCATTTTTTATTATTATTAATATGTAAGAACATTTTAATTGTTTTGTGAAGAAATATACTTTATTTAAACTGAACATAAAATAGTGTTTTCACTACAGCGCGAGAATGCGAGAATCTCGCATATTTTTTTCTTTTCTCGCATTAAAAAATGATTACCGCGAGAAATTCGCGCATTCTATAAATCAATTTGAAAATTCGCGAATTTCTCGCATTTTGGAAAAAGCTTCGAATTACGCCATTTAGAATAAAATCCGTTTCACTTTTCTTCCTGGATCTTTCATTATTTTCAACATCTGCCCC